GGACTTATTACTTTGGACTCTCTTTCTCTCTCTCTCGCTGGCACGCTCTCACTTATGCTTTTTGTTTGTCATGTTGGCGGCAGCACTTTACTGGCCTGGCGTTCAGATGCTGTGTCGCCTGCACAGAGAAACGAAACGGCTGTTTGGCCTCTTTTTCGTCTCGCCTGCTGTTGTACAGTGTTGCTTTTGCATTTTACATGAGACCGAGCTTGCACATACACACGCATAAATCCATATGCAAGCTCTTTGTGGCGAACTTTGTTTGCAACAACAATTTTAATGTGTGTATGTACATGTGTATGTGTGCCTGTATGCTCCCATTCCTTCGCAGAACATTTTGGCGCCAGTTAACGGGACTCCCGCAGCTCCCGTTATTAATGTCAGTGACACTGCACTGGGGACGAAGAAGAGCAGGAAAGCATACACACACACACACACACATACGCACATCCAATGCAATAGCATGCGTTTTTATGCTCCCCTTTGTTGAGGTTAAATAGGAAATAATGAGGTTTAACCTTAAACAAAGTTGAGGCCTTAATTTATGTGTACTTTCTGTTTGTCTAGTACGATCCTTTGGCACAGAGGACCGGGACACACAGTTCCAGATAGCACCTCAGTCGCAGATCTACGACTACATTCTCTTTCGGGGCTCGGACATCAAGGATATTCGCGTCGTCAACAATCACACGCTGCCGCACCACAATGATCCAGCGATTATGCAAGCCCAGCTGCAGAATGGCCCGCCCCAAGTCATGCCGCAGCACTTTCCCATGCCGAATTCCATGAACGCACCGCCTCAACAGCAGCAGCAGCAACATGGCGCCTCGTCCATGGGCGGATCCAGTGGAGGCCCAGCCCCTGGTTCGCAAGGCGGCAGCTTTGGCAATGGCAATCCATTTGGCAATCTGGGTGCTCCCAACCTAGGAATGGTGGGAAACTCGGGCGGCGGCTCTTTGGCGCCCGGTGCTGGAGCACCAGGAGGAGGACCTTTTATGCACATCGGCGGCAATCAGCAACAGCAGCAGCCAAAGCCCCAGCAGCAGCAGAAGCAATCAAGTAAGTTATCGGTTTTAAACGTTCGAAAAGCCCTTTCAATCTGCCCTTTCTGGTAAACAAAATGCATGAACATCTTTATGAATTAATGGACTCATCGCCTCACCTTCCCCTCAGCTCAAGATCTAATAAATTGTACAGTAAAGTGGGGAATTGAGATTATGCGTAGCTTTAAGCGGGTATCCACTTTGGCTGTTCGCTTCCTATGTAAAATATACACATCAACTAATACACACTGCCTGCACATGTTCTCGTCTCGGTCGTCTATATGTGAAGTTTCCGTTTTAGACATGCTTGCCGGCGCCTCACGATCGACGACGCCCATCAGCCTGATTGTCAGTCCTACGGCGGAGCTGACCCAACAGCAGCAGTTGCATCAGCAGCAGCAGAGCGCCGCCCAGGGAATGAGGGATGGTATGGCGCGCGATGCTGGTCATAAGCGTCAGAACCATCAGCAACAGCAGCAGCAGCAGTCCCAGCAGCAGCGTGGCGGATCCAACAATATGCAGCCCCAGCAGCAGCAGCAGCAACAGCGGAACAGCAACGACTTCTACCACCAGCAGCGGGATCGTCGCGATTCTGGCCGGCAAATGGACAACAATTACAGCAACAATTACAATAACAATCAACGCAATCGCGGCGGCGGCAACGGCATGCAGCAGCAGCGCGGCGGCGGCGGCGTAGGTGCAGGAGGCAACGGCGGCGGTGGCCAAAACGCGTGGAACATGCATCGCGGCGGTCCACAGAACTCTAACAATATGAACAATATGTCTCGCAACCGCGGTATGGGCTCCCGAGGTCCAATGCGACCAAATCAGGTATGGATATAGTTTGCACTCCTCCCAAACAGAGTAGGGAATAACATTTCTGCTTGTTATGATCGTTCAGGGCTATCGTCCGAATTCGGCCAACCAGAACAAACCTCGCAACAAGATAAAGTTTGAGGGCGACTTTGATTTCGAGCAGGCCAACAATAAATTCGAAGAGCTGCGCACTCAACTGGCCAAGCTTAAGGTGGCCGATGAGGCAGCCAACAAGTCTGTAGCAGCAACTTCTGATCCAACAGAAGCAGCAGCCACAGCAACAGCAAAAACAGTGGCTCCCACCACTGAACCACAGGTATGGATGCGCCGCTCCCCTTATCTCTTGTGGATTTTTTGTTATCACGTGTAACTTATTCCTTAATTCGCTTTAGTTGAATGGTGAGACCGACAAGAAGGATGATTCTGGCAATGAGACCGGCGCTGGTGAGCATGAGCCCGAGGATGAGGATGTTCATGTGGGCTACGACAAGACCAAGTCATTCTTTGATAACATCTCTTGCGAGGCTGCACAGGATCGCAAGGGCAAGAAGAATGATTGGCGCCAGGAGCGCAAATTAAATACGGAGACATTTGGAGTTGGATCCACACGACGCGGCAGGTAAGTGCCAGCACAACGATGCCACATGTGCATGTCGCTCACTGCACCGTATTTGTTTCTTGCTGGGATATAGCTATCGCGGACGCAACCATTACTACAACAATAACAATGGAATGGGTGGAGGTGCTGGTGCTGGTAGCGGCATGAACACGGGCTATGGCGGTGCGCCCGGCTATAATCGGAACAACTATCGCATGGGAGGTGGCGGCAACTACCGGAACCGCAGCAACAACCGGAACAGCAACAACAACGGCAATCGGGGCCAGCAACAGCTAAACCCCATGCCCAATGGCAATGTGAGTGCAGCCGCAGCAATCAAGGCAGCCAACAATGCAGCAGCAGCAGCAGCAGGAGGCGCTGGTGCCAATAATGTGGATGCCACTGCAACAGCCGCAGCGACGAAGTCAGCAGCGTCCCTCATGCCGGAGCAAAAGCAACAAGTGGCGACAGTCTGTAAGTGATACACTTGTAAGACATCTGTAAGGATCAATTAGAAAACATGAAAACCTCCATTTTGCAGCACAATAATGTCGCAAATCGCAAGAGCAGTGGGCGTCGTCCACTTTAAATACGAAAAACAAAAGCAACTATCCTACTCATTGAAAAGGCTACAAACAAACGAAACAAAAAACTATTTGAAAGCAACTCCCAATCAACCGAAACCGACCGACCGATCGATGACACATACACACAGGCTCTTATTATCAGGAATTTCGAGATACGGATCTAACGGCATAAATATATATTGTATAATTTTACTTAGTGTTAAACTCTTCTCACGACGTCCTGCGTGCACTATGCCCGCCCACCACCACCACCGTGCTGCAGCACTTTGCTCGATTTAATGCTTGGATGATTGAAGGGCGCGAAGGATGAGGAGTGCGAACCGGCCATCTGTTAGGTTTTTTTTGTGTAAATGGCAGGTTGTGTAGTGTAACGCCCGCCCCCTAACCCCTTAAAACCCCATTTTAGCCAAGCGGAGAAACAGGATCAAGAGGATCAGGATAACAAGCGAATGCACACACACCTCCGTATAATTAGTAATAGATGTGAAAAATATATTTAGGCTTAAGGTATGATGGATCTGCAAAACGAAACACAAACAAACACACACAAACAAAATACTAATTAGAAAAACACTCCGAGTCGAAATAATGAAATTAATGGAAAAGATACAAGTAATCCATGGAATTCCCAGCTAAAATAAAAGCAAAGTTAACATGTTTTCATTTGGATACAAAAAAATAAGAGAGAAAAGCGAAAACATAAACAAAAACAAAACCAAAATCCTTAACCCTTATTGTAATACTGTATTCTTTGTGGGGCGTAAAACAGAAAAACAGCGACAGACTTGAAACGTTTTACTAGCATTTAATCTATGATTTAAGAACATTTTAAAGATGAAAGTGAAAAAATAAAAATCAGCAATGCGTATTGTAAATTGTATTAAAAGCACAGCACAATTTTCGGAATGTTGGCAGCAGCATTTCTGTAAAAGTTTCAAATTAATTTCAAAAATCATTTAAGGAGAAACCTGGTAGAACAGAAACAGAAACAATACGATGCGTAGGATCTCGGGTTGTAAGCCTTCAGTGGAATTTATGTAACTTAAAATTTTGAACACAGTCTTAGTAGTGTTTGGTTGTTGATGCAGCAGACTTTCCTGACGGCTTTGGTTAAGGCAGCGAGAAACCGTTCAAGTGAATTAACGTTTCAAAATTTACGGTTTGCGTTTTACGTAAAAGAGATGATGATATAAAAACAAATATAAGTTATGCCTTCCCCGAAGAGCTGAAGAGCCCTGGGGATAACATGTAATCCGATATATTTATATATATATATATTTGTACTAAATGCAGCACAAAAGAAAAGATGCCGAATAAATGTGTGGTGAGGCGTGACGCGCACGGAGGGGGAGGCTGGCTACAAACACACACACACACACATTTCAATATAATGTAATCATAAAAATTATGTATGTAATTGTATCTAATATATGTATATCTCTCCTCTCCACATATGCTCACCCCTGATTAGCTCTACATATTATGTATATATACAATATAAATATGCAATTATCGAGTTAGCCAGATATACATAATAATAGTACGTTTCGCAAGTAACATCAAAATTGTAAAGACTACCTTATTGAACTTAAAATTACTTAAAATTTGATAACTTTTAATAGAAATAAATGAATTCAACAATAAGTAACTGCAGTTAACACTTTTCATTGTACTATTGGCATCCTCATAAGTACGACTACTCGTTCGACGTACGTAAATATATATATTTATTCACTCCATATTTGTTTCCATAAATGCCTTTGCAAGCTGCCTGCCACGTATCGCTGCGCCTGCGCATGAACAAAAACATATTCAATAATACAACAACAGCAACAAAACACTCAGATGTGCATTAGACTTTGTACAATGACCTCTCGAATTCAATCCTAAATCAACTCCACTACCGCCCTCGCCCTCCCACGTATATAATAAACTATAATTTTATAGATGATAAAATTATTGATCAAATGTTTATTAAACCAAACGAAAACAAATAAATCCTAAATATAAAAGCATGCAAACAATGAATGTAGGAAATTAAATGAGAATTAATAAAAATGAAAAGACAAAAAAGCACTCGAACAAGTCAAAATTATTTTTAGAAAAGAAATAATAGAAAATAACACTTTATACCCCAATATATAATTCCTGATATCTCAATTAGTGACCCAAGCGAAGCCAAGTCGAAGATTGTTACGCGTGGATCCCTGGCATAACTCCAGACACACTTGGTTTTTTTTTTTAAATGTTTGTTTTTATTTGGAATATCTAAATTAATGAGACAAGAACCTAGGACTTGTCTTAAAACATTTACCGTAATATCATTTCTCAGATTATAATTTGCTCAAAATACAAATTCACATGATTTTCTGCGGGTAAACCTAGAATAAATAGATGAAATAATGAATTATACTGTTTATGTAGTTTTATATATCATCAGATCTCAATCACTCATATATCATTTGTCCCACAGTCCCAGTTCGCGCATTTTCGTTTGAAAATAACGCTCTAAAGAGTTGGCACAGCGATAGTACTCGGTGTCGGGGGAGTTATAGAAACGACAGTTTGAGAAAATTCGTGCCATATCTGCCATGAATAGGCGACGTGTTTGATAGTATCCCTTCTTTAGACGTTCGCCCATTGTCTTAAGGTCCATGGGATACTTGATGTGGTCGTAATAGTCGGGCACTTCTGCAGCAGTCACTGGACGCAAAAAGGGCCATGCCGTGGTATGCTGACGCACGGATTGAAGGACCGACGCGAATGATGTGGCCAGTTTCTCTGGATCCGACGATTCCTCCAAGGGTCGGGCCGATCGGGCTGGGCGCATTTGTGGTTTCCAACCGATTTCCATGAGGCCAGGAATGGACTCGACCGGTATAGACCGTACACCTTCCTTGAAGCAAGTTAAACCAGTTCTAACTTTCTGCACCTCGTTGTGTCGTTGAGCAATGAGCTCTTTAAGAATTTCGCTTTGATTTCTTATCACTGAAAAGTGCAGCAAATATTTTATATATATACAAGGGTAGACAATTCTATTCACTTACCGGCAATAAATTGCGTATTTACAATTGTTGGATGCAGCTCGCAGTGCATCAATGTGGCGCTATCGTATTCTTTTATATATCCCGCATAAACGGGACGCGCCAGCTTAATGTCCTTGGAGAAGCCTTGCTTCTTAAAATATCCGATGGCATCGCAATCGGCAAATGTGAGCAGGTGCTTAATGCCGCGCTGAATGCTGTAATCCTTCAAATGGTTCATCAAATGGGTGCCATAGCCCTTAACCTGCTCAGCCATTGTGACGGCGCAGAACACGATCTCTGTGAATCCCTGCGATGGAAATGGTCGGAAGCATATGCCGCCGATTGGCTGACTTTCCTTGATCAGGGCAAGGGTTTTGTGCTTTGTGTCGAACACGAGCTGGCTGATATACTCGCGCGGCATTTCGGGCAGTTGGTAAGCAAAGACAAGCTGCAGGCCAAGGAGCCACAGGACAGTCTGCTTATCCACTGGCTTCGTTAGGGAGTTGCCTACCACATGAAACTCAATGGCACGCTTCTGCTCCTCGGCCTTGACGTTCTCATCCCGTGACACATTGACCGGGAAGAGAATTTCCGCCTTGTTTGTTGTTTTCGACTCGGACACCGATTTCATGGCACGCACTACCACATCTGTGGGAAGATCATCCAAGTTCTCACTGGCAGAAATTGGTCAGAATTAGGATTACTAGAGCAAGTGGCATATAACAAACCTGATGGGACGCTCGAGCGTTTCCTTTTTGGGTCTCTTGTGCAGCGGTTCCCCCACGCTTGAGCGTTTATTACTGCCAATGGCAGCTGCACCGCCACCAGGAGCTGGAGGTGCTGCCGCTTCCTGATTGCGCTTGCGTTGTTGGATGACAAATGAATTGGGTGGACGGTAATTGGGATCCCATATGGGGGAGTCATCCTTCAAAAGCTCTGCGCGCAGCGCCTCAAGAAACTTTGGCATTTGCGTTATAATGGATCTCTTGTCTTCGGGAAAGCGATCACGCTCCGAAATGCACTTCTTTTTCAGCTGCTGCGACATGTACTGGAACACGGTGCGCAGAAGGGTGCGTCCAAAGACCAGCGAGGTCTCAAACTGGCGCAAAGAATTGCAAAAGGCAGGAACATGGCAGAAGACAAGCCAGCGGGTGTAGTTAATCTTATAGTTGGACGCATCCTCATGGGTTAGGTCGCCGCGCCTCGTTGAGGGCGACTCGAAATTGTAGTGGTTGAGAAAGTTTAGAAACGTTTTCGCCACCTCAGTCATAGTTTGAAGCTCAGTCGGGTTAAGGTGCTGGTACTTGTAGAAGACCAGGGATAAAACTGCCTTTGTAATGCAGGGCGATTCGAATGGGGGATCACCCAAAGGGCCACGAATGACAGCTTGCTGACGCGTCAGGACGCACTGACGCAACAGGCGGAACAGGTACAAGTATACCTTTTTGGTATCCTCATCCTCTACCCTCTGCATGGACATGAACAGGTTTTCCATATCGATAATGGCACCCAGGAGCTCGTCCATGCTGGAACTGGATATATTATCCAAGTGGGCGATGTGCGTTCGCAGGGAATGACGGCAGCTGGAGTTGCGGCATTCCTCGTTGAACTCGGGACAGTAAGAAGACTCCACATCACGATGCCTGTTCTCCTGAGGAGTTTTCCATCCAGTGCAATGGCAGCCTTCAGCCTGGCACGCAGAGTACATCGAGAGCTTGGCAAGCTTCTGGGGCACGGGCAGGTTGAATACCTTTTGCTTGCGCTGCTGGATGCGCTGCAAGCTGTTCTGGCGGGTGCCTTCTTGAGCAGGGGCACTCGCACCGCCGCTTACACCAGCGCTACCATTGTTGTTGCTGCCTTGGCCCTGGTTCGCCGAAGACGCTGCGCCATTCGCGGACTGCTGCTGCTGCTGTTGCGCTGCAGCATTTCCGCTGTTGCTCCCATCGATTGGTTGACTTTTTAGCGTTACAGAAGGACCACCAGACATTCCACTTAATCACTTCCTCCTCCTAGTTTGGCTCAGACAATTGACTCTTGTCTTGTTTCTAATTTCACAAGCTGTGAAAATTATTACGAGGGATGGCGTTATCTCGGCCTTGGATTTGCTCAGGGATGGAGAGGAAACAATGAATTAAAAAGGTCGCACATAAGCAATGTAACTAAGATAAACACTGTATTAAACTAATGTTTCAATAAAAACAGAAACAAAAAGAGAAGGAAAAGTAGGCAAAACAGGCAACAGAAAATATTTTGCACTATCGAAACACAATTCTCAGTCGATAGTATCTAATCGATATGTAAAGCAGAGGAGCGAAATTGTATGTGTTTTGATTTGTGTTTTGTATTGTATTGAAACTTATCGCCTTTTATTCAATAATGTCGGCAAACTTAAGTATAAAAGATATCGAGGAAAGGCTGGACAACTTCATTGTTCGAAAACCCATACATAGGTCCAAGTCAACTGACGATCCAAAGCAGGGGCCCATAATCCACGAGAACATTCCGCTGGCCTTAAATGATGTATTGCGGGTGTCAAGAGATCTGGAAGAGGAAGACGTGTTTACCATTTCCATCAACAAGGCCCCATGCCATTTTCGTACTTGCATCGTGTACGCCTTTGTAGCCGCAGAGTGCCCGCACCATAAATTATACCGCAAATACATCATCGACGACTCCACTGCATCAATGGACGTGAGCATTTGCACCAAGCCATGGAAGAGGACGATAATTGCATCTTTGTACAACGAGGCAACACAGATGTCGGAAAAGGCAGTCTACAAGGAAATATCCGAAATTATGATGCGTCTTCTAACTGCAGCCTCGGGATATGTAGACCCCTCTGACATAGAGAAGGGAAATAACGTTTTGTTGCTTTGTCGTCCCAACTTCTATAGGGAGAAAATAAGCTTGGAGGCCTCTTCCTTTCTCGCCGACAATGGTAAACTATGCAACCTTGAAATTGCATTTGCGGATCATTACATTGATTGGCACCAAAGCTACAAAACATAAAACAAGCTAATTCTTTTGTATTGAATTTTTACTCAATAAAAAATCATGTATTAAATATAGAGAAATATAAAATATTTATGTTGTTTTTGCTCGAATGGCAGCACGCTTGCCGGTGACAGCCTGGAAACCTGATTTGATGCTGGCCACAGAGCATCTAGAACCGCAGGATTCGCACTGGAGGAAGAACAGGCGGGTGTCTTTCTGCAATATTGTCTCGGGAGAGCGGCAGGTGTGGCACGTCACGTATTCCTTAATGTAGCGACGCAGTACGTTTTCGATCTGTTTGGGCTGGAAGCGACCCTTAATAATAAGCTGCTGGTTACCGTCCATAGAGCCGCTGGTACCCAACTCGGCCAGTAAAAAGTCAAGCAGATGCTTGGGCATACGATGCAGCGTCTTTGCAATGTCCATGAAATTGGCGAAAGACGTTTTCTTTGTGCCCACGCGCAACACCTGAGGGGGTCGCATGACAAACTTAGGCTTACGTCCAGCAGCCATGTCGGGATTTTTGTCCAGGATTATTTCGAACACACGCTTTAGCAATTCGTCATACGTATAGTCACGATCGGAACCTGCCCAGGTCGAACTGTTGTCCTCGGCTGATAAAATACAAGTACAAGTCTTGGTTAAATCCATGATCGGAAATAGTGTGAAAAACTGATGAAATACCATTTTCTTTGTCGTCGCCCTTGTCATCATCCAGCTTGTCGGCAAACAACTCATCCAAGTCCTTCTTCTTGCTCTTCTTCTTCTTCTTCGTGGCCATAGAGAAGTCCATGTCCAAGTTGATCTCCTCCTCCTCGGGCTCCTCGGTGGCTACAACATCCTCGGAGCCAAACGTTGGCACAGCGGCCTCGATTTCATCCATGTTGAAAGGCTTCTTCTTCTTTTTCTTCTTTTTACCAAAGCTCTCCAGATCTAAGTTATCTTCCAGCTCGGGCTCACCGGCCTCGGCCAAAGCTTCGTCCTGGGGCTCATCTTTTTTGCCCTCATCATCGAGACCCAAAGCGGCATCCAAGTCAAAGGTGGTCTTCTTCTTCTTCTTCTTTTTCAACAAAGTGGGGTCAAAACCCTAAATAAAATGAAATATTCCATGATTAATAATTTATAAACATAACCTCAACTATAGTTTGCACACGAAAATACATATGTACATATATACCGTATGTGCACATGTACACATGTACATTACACTGTGCGCTTATAAAAGAATTGCATTTTCAAGTGCATTAACACTACTTACGTCTTCGGCGTCCATTGCTGTTCAAGTGTTAATTTTAAACTTTAATTTACTTTTAATTCACTTTAATAAAATGGAAAATTGCATCAGAAAATTTGACAGCACGGCAAACCATCGAGGGCACTATCGATAGTATCGATGTTTTGCTGCTAGCCTTTACTATCGATGGTTTTGAGACTATCATGATAGTATCGAGCTACAGTCGTTGTGCTTTTAATATGTTTGGATTGTCTGCTATAAGATACGAAGACACATTTTTAAACAAATTATCGACAGGTGGCATCTAATTTTTACAATGGACAAGTTCCTAAAAGGTTTCAATGGTTTTTTAATAATTATTAGAGCTTTCACGATAGTATCGATTGTTTTTTCAAAACATTCAACGTTGATATTTCTCGACTTTGATATTCCGTTAATATTACTAGCTAGCTGGGACTCTCAGCCCTAAACAAATAATTTTATCCAATTCCTCAATGAATTTTGTTTAGGATTGGCTAGTTTTTAGAAGTCCTTTTTATTGGATTATTTACATATTAAGGTTCAAACAAAAACAACATAAAACGAATGTGACGTCGTATTGTGGCGCTGCCAGACTCGTGCAATTCGTAGTTGCTGCGGGCTGCCACACCGTGATATTTTGTGATATGAAATTCGTCAATTTTGATATTCAGTTTAATATTACTAGATAGTTGGCCGTCGCAGCCGTAAACAAATAATTTTATCCAATTCCTCAATAAATTTAGTTTAGGATTGGCTAGTTCTCAGAACTTTTTTCATTGTATTGTTTACATATTAAGGTTCAAACAAAAGCGGCCAAAGCATAAAACGTAAATGTTGACTAAATGTTGCTGGTCAACCAAGTTTCTTTTATGCGTATGTACTTTTGTATTCCTTATTTCTTTTAATTTATGCTAATTTTGTTGTTCCAAGCTCCATTGAAACATTATTTATGATTTTATCCTAGCTTGACATGTTTTTTACCTATTAATGCATATGTTTTGTTATATATATATACATTTATCCCGGTTCTGATACCTAATATTGGTACCCGTGAGCTGCAAAACTTTGTTAAAATCTTTAGAACAGAGACTGAGTAGTTTCTGCATTAATTGGAGCCTGAAATTATAAAGAATTTCTCAAGTCCATAATACCCATTTTCCCAAGGTATTCGACTTGTTGCTCATTCCGTGCCAAAGTTGCACAACAATGCTGCTACTTCATTTCCCCATGTTGCTGAAATTTTTCGCATACAAATCAAATGTATCATACGGGATGAATCTTCATTCCATACGCGTTCCCGTTAAGAACATGTTTCTCACACCACGAAAACGCTCTCTTCACCTCCCCCCACATGGCCTGAAACAGTTCGAAATTTTTTTTTTTTTTTTTGGTTGTTTGATTCATAAGCAAACAAAACCGTGATTTTTGTCCATAACAGTTCGAAAACTTAACATAACATAAGTTCGAAAACTTAACATAACATAAGTTCGAAAAACATAACATATGGGCCAAAAAAAATCGTCAAACAGGAAGAAGAAGAAAAAAACCTCGCCAAACAGGAAGAAGAAAAACATTGAAATATACGCCTAAAAGATACTTTACCGTTGTTATCAAAACATCCACTAAGCCTGAAAGTATTCCATAGCACATATATTTGCAGCACAGCCATTGAAATCATATAAATATAAATAAATACTCTTCGAATTTGAAACAGTTATTGCCAAAATAAATAGATTTTTAATATTAGTCGGGTAAATATACATATGTAGCTCTTTAGTATCAAAAAAAGTCAGTGAAAGGTTACACATATACCATAAAAATATATAAATGCATTTAAAAGTTATTGTCAGACAACTTTTACAACTGAGCGTACAAAGATAGAGATTGATTGCGTTGGACATTTTAAATAGAAAGAAAAGAATATATTGCTTTTGGATCAGATTGGATCAATTCGATTATAGGTGGGCACTGCCTGGTTTTGTCAATTCCGGACCGACTCCTCCTGCCAGTCTTTGAACAAGTACTCCCACTTCATAGGCCAAATTCTCGGTGTCCTGGAAATCAAAGTGTAATATGTGACTAATCAAAATGCAAACAGTATGATTTAATAACAGGTACCTCTTTAGTAGCAGCCTCTGCATACACTCGTACTATGTCCTCTGTGCCGGAAGGGCGCACAAAGGAGCGTCCACGTTTGTAATTCGATACAACATTATCTATTTCCGTTTGCAGACCCTCTGGCTTGACACAAACTCTTTCCGCATTTGTGGTTTCGATGACATTCCTATCCTGGACTTTAATTTTCAACTGTCGGTTTGGCAGGTCGTTGTAGGTGGATATCCAGTCTTTAACATCCCAGCCTTTGTGGTTTAAAATCGTCTCTACAAGCAGCATATCTGAGATGGCATCCCCAACAGTTTCGTTAATGAGATCAATCAGGAGAAGCAAGGTCTTGGCACTAGCTTTCGTTTCAGAAGCTGCTGCAATCGTGGCCTTCGCGTGGTCGCTGAACACAATTGTACCATGGCCATTTGCTTCAAAGTACACGCCGATGTCGTATTCAAGGGCTTTGTGGTGCAGGTGCTTAACACCCGTTGGGACACAAGTAACGGGGAATTTCAAATCGTTGACTATGTAATCGGTGGAAGCACCATTGGCATACGCAGTTTGTACCAGGCCCAAACGCAGATCTATCTCGCTTCGCGTTACCAAGTCCATTAAGTATCCGGCGACTAGCGTTGCAATGCGATCTCCGTCCAGCAGTTTAAACTCTCCCTTATCGTTGGTGAAGAAGTAAACCACTCGATCAGCATCGCCATCCACACTCACACATCTCGTGAAAGGTTCCACAATTGGCATAGATACGGGCGGCCGCTGTTGAACTTTGACGTGGTCGGCTCCACACTCATCGTTGATCTTGCCAGGCCCTATGCCTTGGTTTATAACTGATATGTTTAACGACTTATTCATACGCTTAATAAACTGTAACATTTTTCTAGCACCAACTCCATTTGCACCATCGAAGACCACGTTGTTCTTATAGTTTCCGTTCTCTAGCTGACCGTTTCGTAGCAACTCGAAGGCGCCTATAAGTTTCTCGTAGTATGCTTCTTCGGTGGGTTTTCCGTACGCCTCCTTAGTGTTTGCCGCCACCACAAAGAAGTGGAGCATTGGTGTGGTCACTATTCCGAATTCTCTTACGTTTCCTTTCAGTGCTATCACTCCGTCCGCCACTGCCTTCAATAAACGCGGGCTGTGGTAACGATTGTCCATGCCGACGAACACATGGGAACTCGACGTGATGTCGATATTATTGTCCTTAATAATTTTCGCTACGTGTTGCTCCAAGTCCTGGTCGCTTACATTGACTAGATCCGTGGCTATGGACTCCCAGCTGGCCTCCAACATTTCCCCTTTGGGGTCGACTAGTTTCACTCCATTATCCGGTTCCGGATTGTGCGAGGCAGTGATCATGACGCCGATGACAGCGCCTCCGCGGTATCGAGAACGTAACGTGGCAAGCACTCCCATCCGGTACATGACGCTATCTAAGAATTCGGCCCTGCAATGTAAATAAAAGATAAATCAGCTGCATGAACTTCTCTGAATTTGCGCAGGGTCCGCAACGCTTCATTTTACCCTTAGATCTTAAGATAATACTCTTAAAGTGATCTAGAAATTTTCTTGAACATACAGACTATACAAGCCCTATCTTTTGATTCATTTTGATTTGCATCTAAAGCACATTGTTGATGGGGATACAAGAAAGCCAAAATATATATATATATATGTATATTAGATACATATGTACGCAGGTCCTGTATGTACATACAAGAAAGGGCATGTCCATTGATAAAAGGTGGAATATATCTAAAAATAAATGGGAATTTCCACAACATGACATGGTGCAAGCGCATTACTTATCTTCCGCCAGTCAGACACGACCATCTGCGTACATATTTACTCGAACCTACGTATATTATATGTATACAGATACACGCATTGCTTGATTAATACACAAGATGTGTGTATGCAATGCATTTGGGTTTTTGGGAGTCGAGTCTGTTAATCATAAATAATATAACTTACTTGCCGCGAAACCCAGCTGTTCCATACTGAATGTACTCCGTGGAAATTTTAGGGTACATTTCCCTGGCAAAGGCGTACACAGTTCGCAGATTGATCGACATTCTCTAGCCTCGAGCGTATTCCAAATGGTCCAATCTAGGGTGGCACCCAAAATCTCTTTAAATACTTATACACAGATTACGTTAACCGGTCGGTCGAGAAGCAACTTTCGAGTTTCACTTTGGAGGAGCAACGAAATTAACCCACTTAAACCCCTTCTTTTTAAAGAGGTGAACACCTTGAGCTAAACCCCGGAAGATAATACTGTTTGTAAATGTTCCTTGTAGATCCATCATCCTCTTTCCTTACAAAAAAAATGACCTCGATATCTTTCATCTGAACTGCGCTAAAAATGTTCGTTTCATAATATTCGAGCGTAAATTTAAATACCAACCAGTCGACAATGGGTTAATCGTATTCCCTGATTTATTACTTTCTGTTTCTTGTAAAATTGTAAATATAGAAGAATCAATCGAGCAGATCGACAATTTTATTTTTAGTTACGGTTTTTTAATATTTTACTCAATTTATAATCGACATGTATATTTTAATACAGTTTTTTTATACAACCCAAACAAACAGAGCAACAAAATATATATACAAAGCATAATATCCAATTAACACGCAAAGTCTGAATTCATGGCTCACTCTCCTGTGGGGATGCGGTTGCCACTTGTATACCAAATTCATTGCATTCTTTGCCGCGATTGACTGCCAGCCAATGAGCATTCAGAGTATTCACTTCTCGGTGTGCCAGCAGCAACCGGCATACTACACTATAACGGAAGACAAAAACGGAAGCGAAAAAACTCATTAAAACGCATAATTTTCGTTTGAATTGTTCAATTTGTAAACAATAACAAAGCTACGCATTGCTTTTAGCTTATTGCATTTCAGTTTGTACATTTTTCCCTTTATTTTACATTTTTGTCAGCGATCAAGTATAATTTTTAGTTTTATATCAGTCAGCTGTTGTCAGCGAGCAATTATTATTTTCGTTTCATATCAGTCAGCCATTGTCAGCGAGCAATTAGAATTTATCGTTTCGTATCAGTCAGCTTTTGTCAGGGAGCATTTACAATTTTTGGTTTCATATCAGTCAGCTTTTGTCAGCGAGCTATTAGAATGTTTCGTTTCATATCAGTTGGCTTTTGTCAGCGAGCATTTACAATTTTTTCGTTTCAAATCAGTCAGTTTTTGTCAGCGAACAATAATAATTTTCGTTTCATATCAGTCAGCTTTTGTCATCGAACAATTATAATTTTTCGTTTCATATCAGTCAGCTTTTGTCAGCGAGCATTTACAATTTTTTTTCGTTTCATATCAGTCAGCTTTTGTCAGCGAGCATTAAAATTTTTTTGGTTTTATATCAGTCAGCTTTTGTCAGCGAGCATTTACAATTTTTTTTCGTTTCATATCAGTCAGCTTTTGTCAGCGAGCAATTATAATTTTTCGTTTCATAACAGTCAGCTTTTGTCAGCGAGCATTTACAATTTTATTTCGTTTCATATCAGTCAGCTTTTGTCGGTCAGGGAGCATTAAAAACTTTTTTGGTTTTATATCAGTCAGCTTTTGTCAGCGAGCATTTACAATTTTATCGTTTCATATCAGTCAGCTTTTGTTTCATATCAGTCAGCTTTTGTCAGCGAGCATTTACATTTTTTTTTTCGTTTCATATCAGTCAGCTTTTGTCAGCGAGCAATGATAATTTTTCGTTTCATATCAGTCAGCTTTTGTCAGCGAGCATTTACAAATTTTTCGTTTCATATCAGTCAGCTTTTGTCAGCGAGCAATGATAATTTTTCGTTTCATATCAGTCAGCTATTGTTAATGAGCAATAAAAAGATTTTTTTGTTATTTTTTAAATTTTTATTATATTTTTTCATTTATTTTTACAATTTTACATTTATCTTACATTTTTACATTTATTTTTAATATACATATCCTACATGTTTTACATATTTCCTAAATTAAAATTTAAATTTGTTTTGACCCCCCCTAAAGCATCGGCACTAAGCATACAGTATATAAATTTATTGACAGAGTTGCAAAGTCGAAGGTAGTCGGCATTTGTCTAAAATAGGGATAAGCATATGTAAATGTGAAATTTCCAATAAATCAAACAATTATATATTTTGGAGTGTTACACGTACACACATATGTATGTACATGCTTGCTTTCAGTCGGCTCGTGTCACGTTATTAGCCGAACACTGTCGGTCCCAGTGCCGAACGTCGTCGGTCCCAGAGCCGAAGACCTGGGACCGTACGCTGAAACCTCAGCTGCGCCACTTTCCCTTCATGAACTGGCACATCTACATATATACTGTATGGTTAGTGGCCCAGCCTAATTTCTTTCAAACAAAAGCGCACAATGAAACTACAGTACAGTACTAAACTAAAAAATAGAGCCAAAATGGAGTTGGATACCCTCCCATCGTTCTTATTATTATCTCCTTTGGAGCAAACCAATTGGATCCTGTATTAGAGGTAAAAAGTATTGATATTAAGAGATTTAGAAAGGAAAGAAATAAAAAAGGAAAATTTAAGGTAAAGGTTGGTTTTTATTTTTTTTTTATTTAATATGCTAATTGTAAAACGTTACTCCTTCGTTAATAATTGGCTCGGAGCAGATATTCAGCTGCTGCCACACTTTGTATATGGTAGGCACAACTTTTTTGGACGGACTTAGTTGCTATGTACAAATACATACATTAAACGTACTACATTTTCAGTATAATTCGAGGCACTTTTTAAAAAATAATATGACCTTTGTGGACTACAAAAGCGATCTCATAGTGGTCTACTACTATGCGTATTGGGAATGTAAAAATGTTGATATGTTATTATTTGTTTGTGCTAATGATTATTGTACTTCGAGTCTATGTAGATGTTAGACTGGCAGTGAGTCGGTCGAACTTAGAGCATTATAGCTATTGCACTCGAAAGGAGCAGACCTATGGAAAGAGCCATGTGAGAGGCACCCGCATAACAATCGGTTATGCGACGAGCCCTCATAAAGTCGCTACCCAAATAGGAATCGTAGGTTCGTTGATTCCGCGGAATGACTTGTAGCTGCCTAGTGGCATCCTGAAAGATCAGGTCGTAGTGTCCGATCGGAGATGAAAACATACTAAAACTGAAGGCATCTACATCCTTTCTGCCATAAAGTTGTTGGGCATAGGTTAACAGGTTGATGTACGCATTTAACTGCGTTTCGTTGTAGTTGACGCCTCCGCGCGTTACCACGGCATTGGCCTTTACCTTGCCCAAATTACAACGTTTGTAGTCCTGTATCTCGGCGCGAGTGCCATCCGTACACAAGAGCTCGAAGTCGTCGTTCAGAGCGTTACGTGCCCACCACTCCTTCCGTTTGCCGCCCGTGCTCTCCATCACAGTGGTGTGCTTCATGAAAGCCACATGGCCGCCCCCTTCCACCAGGCATCGGAATGCACCGGTATGGCCGTAGTAGTCCTCTGACGCATCACGTCGGCAGTATCTGTAGCTAGTACCGTGGCACAGGTCACACATGCTGTCATACGGCACACCGGTGTTATATTCGCTGCTAATTGCCCCCGGGACGCAGGACTTTGTGAAGTATTCCGCCGCAGCGCGTACAGAGTCACAGCCGTATGGCCGAATCCAGCCGTTCGAGATGAACAAGGCCATGGGATATGTCCAGCCGGCGGCGGTGTTAATGCCCGTGTGGCAGGTATTTTTGCCTTTTAGGTAAGTAAGCTCCGTATCGGGATCCTCCTCCTTGGCGACAGCAACCACGTAGTAGTACGGCTCACCCAGATTGTAGACCTCGGACATGAATGGTATCAAATCGTAGTTCAGGCCTCCAGTGTAGACATCTCCGGCATCGAATACAGCAATGTCAGCCTTGCCAGACTGAATGAACTGCATGCAATTGATGTGAGAGTGCATTTTCTTGCAAATGAGTTCGGGCTTCAAGATCTGTGCTTTTAGGGCAGTCTGCAAATATTTGATTTAATTAAAAACTGACCTCTCTACATATGCCCCTCTCGCCCGCCCACTCACCGTCATTTTGATACACTTTTCCAGCTCCTGTTCCGAAGTCACGCAAAGGGTCATCGCTGGTATTGGGCATTCGCGTATTCCGTATATATAATTGATGGAACTCTGCAGATACCTTGTGAAGGACTGATCATCTTCGGGTATGAGCGTAAGAGCACGACTTGAGTCCTGGAACAGCAGATTGGTTTTGCCGTATCTTTTGGAATCAAATATACGGAACTTTTCATAGAGAATGGTTCCGTTGTTGCGGTCTGCGGTGTTGCCCTCGGATGTGAAGCTGCTATCCAGACGTTCGTTGCGGAAATTTGAGTTATCGAAACGATCGTAGGGATTCTTATTTCCGCTAAAGGCATTGCTGGTGTCATATTGGTTGCCAAACTGATCATAGGGATTGCTGCGACCCTGCTCATTGAACTTGTTCTGATCATAGTTGGTGAACCCGGCTGCTCCCTGGTTATTGGGAGTTGTTTCACGAAGTCCGTCCGAGTACAGCTCAGAAATGCGTTTCAAAAACAATTGGTACTGCTTTCTGTCACTGAAGCTGCGCGCCGAAGAAGTTACAATGGCATCGGCCGGCACTTGGCCCCAATTACATTGGCGGTAGTCGTTGATTGGCACACGACGACCATCCCGGCAAAGCAGCTCAAAACTGTCTGGTGACAGATTTTCTAAAAACATATGGAGAACACTAATGTGGAATCACTTTGTATGGTAAATAAAACTACTTACTAAATTCTGGAGTCTGCAGCATTTCAGTAACTGTCGAGTGACGCAAAAAGGCAATATCACCGGCTTCGAGCAGGCATCTGAATGCTCCTTCGTAGCCAAAATAGGGATCAGCCGACGAACAGCGTCCACCGGGAATCTTGCCAGTGCAAAGGGTACAAAGTCTGCAAGAGAATAGTTTTTATTTTCTCCAAAACTCAATTTTTTTGACTGCACTTACTTATCGGAGTTGTCGCCAATGGGATTGTATTTATCAGTTAGAGAGTAGACGGCACACGACCTGTTGAAGTAGTTGGCAGCTGTTTTCACTTGATTGTTACAATCCACAACTTCCATTCCGCCTTCTTTTTGTAGCTATAAATGAATCCATCGTTAGAGTGCACCCAAAACAGGCAAGTTATTTACTTCGTACCGTGTGGATTGGCACAATCCAACCGGCCAAGCTGCCAACCCAGGGGAAGCAAGCGCGTTTATTTCGAAGACCATGCAGACTAGTAACATCGGTAAGTGCACCCTTCTTGATCACCGCCACGGACTGATACTCTTGAAAGCCGCCCTCCAATTTTTCCTGCATTATTGGAATCAGGGAGTTATAGCGCCCAGCTGTGAAGACATCACCAGCGTCCAGTGAAGTAATATGGGCCTTTTCACGATCGATATGGTGGATACACTCGTCAGCACTAAACGCCTTGAAGCATGTTAAATTCAGGAATGCCTCATCAAAGAGTGCGCGGTCACGTTCGATAGCAACAGTCAGGTTCTGGCATTTGTACTGCTCCTCCAAACTTTTCGTGCACCAAATGATTTGACTTGTTCTATGCTCATCGTAATGATGTTGTGCTGAAAGAAAATAAGTCATAGTTTGATTGAACAGTATTGTTGTGACGACCGAACAACGCCCTAAGGTATGACGGCCTGAACGTCTATTCAGAACCCTACTTACCGTAACCGACGGTGAAACAAAGAACGCTGACTAGAGCCACACAAGCTGGAACTCTAATCATCTTAATTATATTTAAACAAACAAATTAAAACACACAATTCTAAAACAGATATTAAACAAGAAAACACCACACCCAAGCCCAGCTCCAGAAAATGATCGGTATCGATGAGTGTTGCACAATTCGTACAATTCCAACGGACCGCGTTTGGTATTTTTTAGCATCTTTCGGCGCGACCAGGTGTTTTTTGTTTTGTAATAATTTTTGTCGCCGAATAAAAATAAAATCAATTGTTTTAGATAAAATGGCAGCTCTACGTGGATGGAAATTCGTTGGCTTCGTGTCCTGCATTGTAGGAGCCATTGGGTTGGCAGTGTATCCGGTGATATTGGATCCAATGCTCAATACGGAGAAGTACAAATCGCTTCAGGAGTACAGCAAAATAAAAAGAGATGAGCTGCAACATACTATTAAAGGAAAGGACTAAATATGGTTTACTTTAGCATATATAATTGGCATGTGTATAATGCAAAAAGCAAGATGTCAATTTTGTAGTTGCCAAACAACCACAATGTAAATTACCTCATTTAATGTTCGTATAATTATGCAAGTTTTATCTAATTTTAACGCCAACTAATTAGGTATTAAGATAATATTTGATAAAATTAAATAATTACCGAGTAATTTCCCATTTTTTGTGTCTCTAGTCAGCGCTTAATGTATCCACCGTCACTTACGGTAAGCAAGGTTCAAGATGGATTCATGTCATGCTCGGTCGTATCATCACCACTACTATAACTTTTTAATAAAACTATGAACTATTTTCTTTCAGTTATAAATATACGTATATTTTGTTGGCGCAATCCTGATTTTAAATGGTAAAAAATCGACGTGTAGATGGAAGTCGTTTTCTTGGAAGTCTGGAACTAGTTCCATAGCGGACCAAAAGCTTTAGGGTATTTCTCATAGATTCGTTGTCGCCCACAAAGTGTTTTTGTTATTCTTTATCAGCGGCATACGTGGTGTTTGCATTTTAGATATTATATGTTGAAATCACCTGAACAAGCAAGATGAGCACGGAAACCCTCAAGCGCGATGAAATATTGCTACTTTTCGATGTGGATGGTACACTCACAATGCCCCGTTCTGTTGTGCAGCCGGAATTCGAAGATTTCCTCTACACAAAGGTGAAACCTCGGGCGACGATTGGAATTGTTGGTGGCTCTGATCTGGAGAAAATGTTCGAGCAACTCAGCGGCCAGAAGATTCTTACGAAATTCGATTTTATATTCCCTGAGAACGGGCTGGTGCAAATCGAAGGCGGCGCCGAAGTTGGCAAGCAAAACATTATAAAGCATTTGGGGGAGCCAGTATTAAAGCGCTTTATAAACTTTGTTCTGCGATACCTATCCGAGCTGGATGTGCCCATTAAACGCGGTACGTTTATAGAATTCCGTAATGGCATGATGAATGTCTGCCCAATCGGTCGTCAGTGCACGCGAGAGGAGAGGAACATGTTTGCCCTACATGACAACGAACACAAGATCCGGGAAAAGATGATTACTACGCTTAAAAAGGAGTTTGCTGATATTGACCTAACGTACAGCATAGGCGGACAAATTAGTTTTGATGTCTTTCCCCATGGCTGGGACAAAACGTATAGTCTGCGACACATTGAAGCCCATTACAAGTTCAAGGAAATACATTTCTTTGGTGACAAGACGGAGCCGGGTGGCAACGATTATGAAATTTATACCGATCCACGTATTATTGGCCACAAGGTGGACACTCCAGACGATACAAAGCGTATACTTACAGAGATTCTTAAACTTTAATGCATCTGCTGTTTGGTTATAGTTTAATCAAAAATTGATCAATATTCCATTGTAAATATGTAAGCAAAAGTTAAAATATAATGTTTTGAAAACCCATTGCTTAATCTGTGTCCATGTCAGAGCTGTTGGAGCTATCATCCTCATCACTGCCACTGGTCTCCTCATCGGAGCTGCTGCTGTCGCTGTCCACCCAGTCGTGTGCTTTTAAATTATTTGGGATTAAAACTTTCCACTCTAACTTGTGTAGGTCTAGGGCATAGAAATCGTTGTAGGTTATCTGCTTGGCGTCCTCTTCAAATAGTCCCCCAAAGACGTACAATGTGCCCTTGCACACACAAAGTCCAGGACTCATCCGCGGCGATGGTACCGATGTGGCACGCTGTTTGTTACCAAAGAGGCTGGGTATGGCAGATGTGTAGGGTGTAGTGCTACTGGTACTGGGCCCTCCAACTGTGACGGTGAATATACCATCGGTGGTGGTAACAGGTCCTGCCGGAGCATCCTTGTTTTCACTCATTTCGATATCATTGGAATCTTTTGCATTCTTTTTGGTAGCAGGACTGCTCTTTTCCAAGATTTCCAGCAAACGCCAGGTTTGGGCAGTCAAGTCAAAAGCCAACAGGTCATCACTAAATTGTCCATGAACATCTTCATCATCCTCATTGACATCCATCACGCCGCCAAAGCAATACGCTTTGCCATTTGCAGCGACAGTGCAGCCAACACTACTCCGTGGCTTGGGTCGATATCCTCCGGCTTTAACGGTGATCCATTTGTATTTATTATCGCCATCCCCGCTGTTTTCTAGAATCAGAAACAGTTAAGATAGCTGTCAAGATATATTTAGAGCTAATATCTTACTATCTTGAGTCAGGGCAAACATATCCGAGTGGTTGACTCCGCGATCGATGTCCTTCTTCATTGATGCTCTCGAATAGCCTCCCCAAACGAATACTTTACCATCTGGAGCCGCAGCAATGCAGCAACCGGATCTAACGTGCGGAATGATGGGACCGCTTATTTCCACCTTTAGCCACTGGTAGGTCTCAAGGGAGAAAACGTGCACATCGTTGAAGTAATTGTACGACTGGTTGTTATCGTGAAAGCCACCAAAAATAAACAAACGTTTCTTCGAGGCCGTCATTCGATGGCCACTCCTGGCACTTGGTCCATTGGGTGCTGACAGTTTTTCCCATTTGCGCGATTTAAGACTAAATTTCCACAGATCTCTATAGTGATGGAACTGCAGCTGGGATGGGCTCGCGTGCTCCCCACCAAACATCTAAAAATATTTGAAATGCAATCAACAGGTTTGGGTCAATCAAAGGCTGTGACATACCCACAATTCTCCACCGTTGCTGGCCAAAGAAACCATTTGGTGACCGCTTCGCGGGGTCGGTCCGCCAGGTGAGCGCAGTGCCTTCCACTCGTTGGCGCGTATGTTATAGAAAAACAAGTCATTGTACACACTGATGTTGGCTCCATTATAAAGTTCTCCTCCAAACATGATTAGTTCTTCCTTTTCGGGATGCGCCACCAATGTGAAGTTGGACCGAGAACTGGGCGGTGGGCAAACCTCTTCGGTAATGCCATCTAACCGGCCTTCCTTAACTTCCAGCATATGGATGATATCCGTAATGTTGGCCTGAAAGCAAATGCGAATATGAATTAAAGGCATGTACAGATTTCTTTTAGTTTAGTTAGTTCATACCTCTCCGAGTTTTTCCAGCATTTTCTTCTGCTTGGCGGCATTTTTCTTATCCGTTTTCATTGCAGTTTTCTCCGCACCCTTGCCTTTCTTCTTATTCTTGTCTTTTTTACCCATTTTAGTTAGTTTAATTAAGAATTAGAATATATAAACAACTTTAGCCACACGTGTAGAGCAGTGTGACCGCGACTTTACCGATAAAATATACCGTCAGACCCTCAGAAAAATACCAAAATACACCGTATCATTTAAAAAAAATATCGTAAATATACCGATGAACTCGACGACTTATTTCCTCAATTTTGATGTTCGGTTTAATATTACTAGCTAGTTAGCCTTCGCAGTCCTTAACTAATAGGTTTATCCAATTCACCAATCAATTTTGTAAATCGAGCACGCATAAAGATCAGGGCGGGGGTCCCGACCACAATGCCATGCCCGCCAACAGAGCGGTGGCCCCAAAGCCAATGGTGCTCTGCCCCATACTCGCTACACACCGTACTTTGCATTTGATATGGACATTTTAGGTTACTTTACATTGAGTGTAAAATGGATAATGGATAAGTTTATTGATTTTATCGTCAATTTTGTATTAATTGTACAAGTTTATAAATTGTAAGCTTAGACATCTTAGCTACGTATTTATGATTGTGATGGATTGTTGCTCATGGCAGCTAGATGGCTAACAGACCAACTTGAATCGAATCCACAGGCAGAATCTGAATCGGAATCTGCTGTGAAGGACGGATCCATTCCTTTGGGAGCACGAACCTGATTGGGAGTGGTGGGCATGCTGCTGTAGCCGCCGTTTAGATTCGAGCTTGAGTTGGATGAGCAAATGGAGTCCCGAGGTGAATTCGTTGCATTGGACGCAAACGATGATCTCTTCGAGGACTTATTTCGCTTGGTTTCTACTGATTTCGGTGGCGGCATTAGATCTTCAGTACGTTGTGTTATATTGTCAGCAGAGCCCCATGATTTGTGAACAACATCGTAGATGTTTCGGTTATTTGGAACACTCGCCCTCGAGCCCGGATTCGAGTTCGTGCCGTACGGTGTGGTCGTTGCTCTCTGATTCGGATGTCGATTCCGTGTCGTACCAACGTGGTGATGATGACGCTGATGAGGGTGTCGGTGAGATCGCTGGTGAGGGCGATTTGCTGTGGTGGCCGCCCCGCCACTGCCATATCCCGTCGGAGCTACCCCACTGCCATTGCCCACTCCCAAGAAATTGCTGAATGCTTCTGTTGTCTTCTTTACCCGGACATTCAGTGAACCAATCCGCAGGAATCCCAAGTCTTTTTCGACTGCAAACAAATTTACAATTAATATCGATCATCGGCATCATCTTAATTATAATTGACTTACTTGTATGCTTTTTTCGTGCTTTGATTTCTGAAAATTAAACAAATATAAATTATTTAAATGACTGTTTAGCAGCTTAAAAGATTAAATGAACGACATGCTGAGACATTCCAACAACAACAAAAAATGCCAAATAACTCTTAAAGATGTATGGGAGTACGGGTAAACATGGAAGAAATAATAACGGAGGAAAACTTACCAATGGAAATGCAATCAGACTTTGCAACTCAAAATGCTTTCAGAAATAAAAATTAAATTAAAATAAAGAGTTTTCAGCTACCAGCTATTGCAAGGAGCAATATATATGTATATTTACAGGCCGATAATGCAAAGCGAATTTGTATAATAGCTTATAGCACTAGATATTTAATCAACAGTAATAGTTTGATAATACTCAAGATCGTTAAAGCTTTCAACCTGCCTCCAGGTACCATTGAGTCCGCCGTTGAATCGCATCGCTTGAATCTCTACATACAGCAAAATTGAGAATAAAATAGAGTTTCCCATTGCACATTAATTACTAAGTAGAAGTCGATTATTCGTATACTCTACGTCTCGAGTGGGTGTTGTTTGTGATGGGAGCATCAGTGTTTTTAATCGAATATTAATACGTCAAAAAGCGCATTCTCGATATGAACTATGAGTATCAGTATCATTCAGATATGTAAACTAAAGGTCAAAGCTCGGCTGATTGTCGAGCAAATGTTTGTGATGATTTAAAAACTATAATTTTAAATGCAGCTACTTAGTTTGTGGTATATTTTATTATAATAAATAAACATGCGATTATTTGTAAGTGTGTATAAAATTGATTACTTATGTATGTTTAGTTACTCGGCACACCATTGCGATAGATTGGAATGGGTATAGATTTAAGGCTTAAGGTGCCTGTGTGTGTGTGTGTGTTTATACAAGGATAAAAGGATAAAATAATACAAATAAATACAAATCATGCTGTGGCATTAATACACTGAATATCAAGGCATTCGGCTATTCAATAGTCAGAGCCTTGAATATTAATGCCTTCGTATTGGAAGCAGTAGATAAATAAATAATATACACCATGGTGGGGGCTTCCTTTACCGTGTTTGTGGTTTGTAAAATGGCAATAATTAATAGCAATACGTAACACCCTTTAGCTGGGCTGTTCTTGGTTAGTAACAATATCTTTGGCCTTGGTGGCCGACCGAAAGGTTTTACGTAGAAAGCTCTCTTTGCGCCGAGTGGAGGTGCCGGCCCGCAAAAATCCAGGATTCATTTCACCCTGTACAACCTCACAGGGCACCAAATCGTCCTCCGGACTCGATTTGAATAGGATCGATTGCACGGACGGCTTCTTTGGGCGACGCTGTGACTGCCGCACCATCAGGGACTGAGAGCGCGCCACAGCGCCTCCACTCGCACCGCCGCCACTGACGGTGGCATAGCGCAGCTGAGAGCGTTTCTTGCCGCGGGTTAGTGCACTGCCCAGTGTACCACCGGTGAGATCCCCAGCACCGTATGGAAACGCGTCAAAGTATTGGGCTCCGAGGTGGTAATTGTTGTTCACCTCCGTATTGAGGAAATACTTTTGATACTCACTGCTGCACGTGGATGCCGACACACTTGGTCGCTGGCGGCTATAGTCCAGGGGCTTGTTACCACTCCAATCCATAATGTCGCGATTGGCCTCTGCAATGCAATGGAATCGAATTTGATCAGCTTAACTGTCTATAGTGCTTTTACTTGTACTTGTTTATGATTTATGGTTTATGGTTTATTTTATACCCGCATACTTACTGTAGACATTCCATAGCAATTCAAAGATATTATCCCGTCCAAACTGAGTTGCCAAATGCAGCGGTGTGTAGCCCTTAAAGCAACAGCAAATTATTTAACTAATTAAATTCTATATTTAATTATAGATTCAATACTTCAGATAACAGAACGAAATTGCTTGGAAAAATACTCGAAGGGGAAAATCTACTGGGAAATGCACGATTATGCCATTTGCGGTGTGTTGTTGTTGTTGTTGCTGTTGTTGTTGTAAATAGCGTATCGAATCTTTTAAAATTGTGATTGACAATTCACTTTGTTTCTACGAGCAGGGATGTGGATGTGACATTTTAATACATTCGAGTGAATTTAATTTCGCTGGAACAAAGCAGCGTTCAATTTAAAATTTTGTAAACTTGAATGCACAGCTCACAGTGGATATGGATATGGAGATGGAAGGAAATTAAGTGAAGTGAAGTGATGGAAGGATTCGTAGCTGACAGAACGGTGTGGCACAATTGGATGTGCTCGTCATGATTTGTCACAGATGCCTCCGCATGGCTCACGGGAAAGGGTTACGCGCTACGTTACGTTACACGAAAGCGCTGTGTGGCTGTGTGGCAGTGTGACATGTGACGCACATTCACGCGCAAACGGGACAAGCCAATAAGTCGGAGTCGCAATCAGTTCGTATATATTATTAAAATTGCTTCAACAGATTTACATTTACATTTACACTCACCCCATTCTAAAATTGTCCACAGTTTGGCGAACAGTGCATATGAAATGAAATGAAGGGAAGAGAAAAGAAGGCAAGGAGTTGGTATAAATAAAAGCAATCGGATGGGTGGGTTACTCACCGTCTTGGCGTTTACATCCGCTTTATAGGTACCAGCAATTAGTTTAACAACATCTTCATTCCCATGCTTGGCCGCCCAGTGTAATGCAGTCTAAGAAATGAAAAGCACATTTAGTGGAATAATCAATACCCCCCCCGCCACTCCCCATCGAGCACACAGTAGCAGAAGGTAACTGTCGGTGTCGATGGCGGTGTCCCCAAAAACGCTACTCATGTGCCCCACTTCTGGAACTATTTGTTCTGCCATCAATTTAATTTGCAGGGCAGCCCCAGAGCATGAGGATGAGGACGAGCAACCGACCCGAACAGCAGCCGCATCCCGAGATTAACCGATATAAATAAATTGGCCAGCCACCGCTGAATGCCTTCTTGCCTCAATTATTTTCATGTTAACATAATAATTTAGTATGGCAAAACGATTTGGTTGGACGCGATAAGACCCCGTCCTGAACTGGAAGATCGCCACCAGTTCAGCTCAGCTCAGCTCAGTTCAGTGCAGTGCAGTGGAACAGTGGAACAGTGGAGCATGTTGGATGTGCATGTTGATTTTCTATAGAATTGTTTGCCGCCGCGCCGCCGCATTGCAGCCCACGTACATATCTCCCATGTGTTGACAATGAAGACGGTCACTTTTGAACAGCTACGACAAACGAGAGAAGAGCGATACAGCAACAGCAACAGCTACAGCTACCCGATCGGGCCGAACAAATAGAGTTTAAGTCAATTCCCATAGTCTGTGCTGTGCTGTGCTGTGCTGTGCGGTGCTGCGATCGGTATGTAATTCTTTTCAAGGGAAATTTGTTTCGTGTCTCCCGTTTAAGATGCGGCTGCGATGTGCAGCCCCAGTAGTCCCAGTCCCGAGTCCCCAGTCCCAGTCCCGGACCCTGACGTAGTTATTGCTGTCGATGCATCTTAATCTGCCCGGCCTGGCATTTAATCTCGTCCATTGTCTTTTGCCAACCAATGATCACGGCCGGGAGCTGAAAGCTGGGCAGCCCAACTTCTGGAAGATGGGAGCTGGAAGCTGGTAGCTGGCGGAGCGGAATGTTGAATATAATTTGGTTATAGCCGATACTGCGGCTTCGTTCTAATCAATTAGCGAATGTTTCCCTTATGTTACTTCACAGATAAGAGACCGGAGCAGCTTTAAAATCGATTCAATTGAAGATTCAATCAAGTTTCAATCGCTTTCATATTTATATGATTTTTTCATAGCCATTTCTATTGCTCAATTAGATATATAAAGTACTGTATGAGCTCCATTCATTTAACTATTCAAGTAGAAACGATGTGAGATCTGAGACTGGCCATTGTCCATTGGCGGATTATCGCCTTGTCGGCTGGCTGGCTGGCTGGCTGGCTGGCTGACTGGCTGGCAGATGTTAAAAAGCTTTCGACCGGTTTGCATTTACAAATCGTCTCACGCGCAGAGTTGCGCGTAGCGCGATTTAAGCCATTTCGGGAAGTTGGCCAGGCCGATACACACACACACACATACACTGTCTGAGAGAGTCTGAGGCCCTTTTTACATATGGCACGTTGTCCGTCTGCACGTTTAAATTTATTGTCCATTCCATTAATGGTGGCAAGGGACAGGAATTTTGTGTCTTTGAAAGTGAAATGCCATAAATTCTTGTGTCTCGTTCGTTTGTGGCATTGTATTGGCACCAACCATAAGCAAACAGAACAGAACAGAACCGAACCGAACCGAACAGAAGAACAGATCTGCTCCGCTCTCTGGAGCAGCAGTGCAAGTCCAAGCTGAAGCTGTTGTCGTGGAATCCCTACTCGGCAGTGGCTCTCGCACCCAGGGATGCGATGGAGCCAACAGCAACTGCAACAGCAACCGCAACAGCAACAGCCCCATGCTTCATGCTCCCATGGCTCACAAATTCCAGGAGCAGAGATTCCAATACTTAGTCGTGCGACATTTAGCCGTGTTCCCCGATCCGTTATTGCTTCATGATAATAAAAGGATGTCGGGAATACCTGAGACAGGCTCAGGCTACAAAAGGTGTCTTTAAAGGCTCTAAATAACATCGGAGCCCCAACTAAACGACTACAATCGTAAGCGTATCGTGTATTAGAGGGTATTCCAATTTTACACAGATTATTTCAACGCAGAGAATTAAATTTAAATATATATGTGGGCATATTTTAATGGAAACAAATGTCTAGCTGCCCCACAAATAGTTGCTCCCAAATGTTTCAGAACCTATAATATTTGTGGATTTAATACTTACATACTGAGATCCGGAACATCCAATGAACATGCAAAAAACAACAGCAGAAGAAATAAATAAGTGCAAGTTCAGCATAATTTTTGGTGATAAATGGGCACACGAAAAAACAAACACAAATTGGAGGCTGGCGAACACAGTGTTTGCTCCCAATTTGCTATGTAATGCAGTTAAATATACATAAGTGCAGATAGTATGTGTATGTAGATGCCTGTTTTCCTTTAACAAGTTAATAACACATTGGCAAGCGCTTCAACGGCAATTACATCGTTCTTTTCTGGCAGATGGACGCTGGGGGCTCACGCCCTTACACAAGCACAAGCTCACAATTCTTCGGGTTAAAGCCGCTCGCTCGCCTTTCTGTGCGAAAATGTATGGCCCTAATGGTGCAAACTATGTATGATAATGAGGGTCCTGCGCGAGTCCTGGAATGCGGGCTGGCTGATGGACAGGAGAGGACTGGACAGGACTGGACAGGACTGGACAGGACAGGCCAGTGCGGATGTACAATACGTTTAGCGCCAAAAGTCGAGCGCGCCTGCAAGAGCGTCGGACATGACGGCCCTCGAAGGCGTTTTGATCGAAATTCGATATTGTGTTGATAAGCCAGACCCAACCTGACAGACAGACAGACGGACAGACCCTACCAACAAGGCTGTTTTAGCACGTTCAGTTCAGTGGCTGTAAGCCAGAAGCTGTCATTTTGATGAATCGCCAGGACACGAAAACTGTCATGTTGAACATGTCCGCTTTGGTTATAATTAAGACTCGCACTGGCACTCGCACCGCACTGGCACTCGCATGTTCTTCTCCCGAGTTGGCAGGCGTAATTGCAGTTTGGATCAGAGCCACTGATCGCCGAGCACAGAGGCCGTAGCCATGCCCGCGCCCGCACCCGTAAAGGAACAATAAAGGAACACCTTTGCGCCCATTTAATTTCACTGAAGATCGCTGCTCGCCAAATTAATTTATCATTATTGTGCTGTGGTGCCGCTTTCTTGGCTCTCGTCAAGGCTGTCGGCTGTCCACCAATACTGAATAATGACAGCAGCGAGTACGTATGGAATGAGTACTAAATTCTACATTAATGGGAGTTTAATTTGTGTTTGTTTTTCCGAGTTAGACTGCCATTAGAATGCTGACGTATACTTACGCCCTGTTTCCATTGTAGAACATCGAAAAGTGTCAGTTACATGAAAGAAAAGAAATAATTAAAAAAACGGTAAGAGTTTTATTACTCGAGAGTTCTGTGGGAAATACACAAAAGAATTAATCCAAGCCAGGAAGTTGTCTATTTCCAGCATGGGGGTATAAATCGGAACAATAAATATGGCCAGATCCCTTATCGTGCCATATTTAACGCAAATGAGAACTATGAGTATGAATATTTTAGGACTGAAAGGTGCGTGTGTTCCCAGAGCTATCCGGGGCGGGGGGGATACAATCTTTGTGTGGGGACATGAATGTGAAACAGAAACAATTATTTTCTATTTATCCTGCCGTGCTGTGCCGGGATATGGCCCAAAACGTAATTGGAACTTCTAAATCAATATCAAATCGACAACAGGCGGCTAATTTCGAAAACAGTAGCCACAATAAAATGGAGTGGAGTGTAAATGGAAACCCATAGCCATAGCCATAGCCATAGCCCATAGCCCATACCCATGCACGGGTAATGACAGGGCCAAAGTCTTTTTTGCGTTCACAGTGCGCGCTGCTGCCTTTATCTGTCGCAAACAATCTAAATGATATATTAGGCGCAAAGCAAATAATGTTCTTTTTGTCGTCACCATGTCCTTTCTCTGTCGCTCCCGAGTTAAGTTCTCCAATTATGCGGATTATTAATTTAACTGGGTCGCTGCTGCTGCTGCTGCTGCTCCTGCTGCTGAGAGAGCCCGGGCACACACAGACAAACACACACCCCTCCGATCGGGGACCTAAGTGATGTTGTCGAACAGCCGCTGACCACTTGTCGTTTCACAAGTTGTCAAAACTTGTCATTTAACCGACAATGAGCCTTGTTGGCTTTAATCGTGGTTATTATGCGTGCCGCTGACTTGGGTCTGGTCTCTTGTCTCCCCCCCCCCCAGTCAGGCTCATGGAATTATTAATGATGCCTGGGAGTAAGCGCAGTGCGTCGACCGCGTCGGCAGGTGCTCCTGCTCCTGCTCCGCTGCTGCTGCTGCTGCTGCTGCTGCTCCTCCTCTCTTTCGAGTGTCTCTAATTAGCAGCGGAAGGAATACACACACACACACACACACACACACACACACACACACATATGCAGTGGGCTGACGGCGCACTTTTTCGGTCACTAAACCAAATTGATTTGATGTTGGATTAGCCTGTTATAATGGAGATAGCCAGGCTGCCTGCCATGATTTATATATCACACACTGGGGCGAGTGTCCGAGCATCCGCGGCTGTCCAATTAATTCTCACCAGACCAGGAGCAGCAGCACCACCAGCAGCAGCACCAGGCCAGAGCACATGCAGCATATTCAGCAAAGAGCAGACCCTTCCCTTTCTTTAATCGGTTTTATAACAGCAGGGTGGCTCATTTGTCAATGTGGCAATCAATAAATTCGCCAAACAGGTGGAAACTCATAACCGCGACAGGGTTTAGTCATACGAAGATGCACAGTAGTCGTCGGCAGCAGTCGGCAGCAGTCGGAGTGCCCGTCGATGAGGGTTCTTCCCTGACTCCTCAACAATGAGGTCTGAGCCACTCCTTTTGGTAGCCGTGGCCGTGGCCCCAGTAACAGGTGATCGGCAGTAGTCTGCTGCTCTTTTTTTGTTGGTTATTAAGTTGTTAAGCTAAATTATTGGTTTTCCTTGTTTTTATGTATTTATTTAATTCCCTCCTCCTGCTCTCTGTTGGCACTCAAAGCCATTGGCGACATTTAACAGCTCGTGCATTTATATGATCCGACACAGGTCCTTTATTATTACAAAATATACCTCTTGGGCATGCATATAAATGAAGCTATATAAATATAATTGGATTTAGTTAAACCTCCCAGAGGTTGGGCGGGGCACCCATCAAACTATCCATCCTGATTCTGTATCATTCTGTATTTCTGAGTAGCTTTAATAGATCTATGGGGACTATTGCCAGATGGATAGCTGATCTTCTTTAAGCTTGAAAGTATATGTGTTGTGGTAGCCTTTGCTGCTGGAAAGTTGCACAGAATGCAGTCCTTGAATAAACTCTAAAACAGGTTCCTGCGGGCCAAAAAAGGGGAACCCGTTTTTAACGATCAGCCAAAATGTTACCAAGAGTGTCGTCATTAATACTGTTTTGCTGATTGATACCTGAATTATTCCATTCAGAGCCAATTACTCAGGCAAGTGAGACGCTTGCACGCGCGATGATTTTTTGCGAGTTCAGTTCAGGGATTATTATTATTATGGAAGTCGACCCTATCGACCTTCGACTAATTCCCGTATTTGGGGGTAAAAAGAATCCAAAACTTACCGTTGCTGGGTCCTGAAAACAAACAAAAGAAATATTTATTAATAAATATATTTAATTGGAAATAATTGGCATAAATGTGGCAGGATTAGGAGCCAATTTTAACGTGGGATCAAAGGATTATGAAGGAGTTTCTGTACACATGTAATCTGGATGGGAAGCGATCTCTTCTGGGAACCATTCGTCTGACGGAATGGAATACGCAAATAAATATTTATGTACGATCGCAGGCAGGAATCGATGGCTGATTTAATTGTTGGACTAATTGAGAGATTTTTTGTTGTTTGCCATCTCTGGCGAACCCCCAGGACGACGGGCATGCGAAGCAACTGCTGCATTTTTTGCTCCATTTGGCACTCAGTTAACTTAATGACTTGATTTGGCAGCAGACTGATGAGGTGCGGCTGATTAGCAAGCAGGGAGGGGACGACCCCAGACGACAGTACGTGCAGCAACGTTATGTTCGGGAGCTTTGACTGTGGCCTGACTGTGGCGCATCCTGTGGCAATCCGCCAGGCAAACTGTCGTCTGATCGGCGACAATGACTCTGCCTTCCATATAAGCACTAGATGGGCTGGGCACAACAACAACAACAACAACAGCAACAACAAAAAAACCCTTAAATTTCATGCAGAATTAATTAACTGCCGTGGTGGCTGGCGCTGACTGCGAGCGCTCATTTCGTGTCGCCGCCGCCCAAGTAGCCAGCTTTTTGGTTGGCTTTTTGTAAGCCCGCCCGATCTTTGATGACTGGGCCAGACAACGCTGCAGCTGAAGCTCCATGGATACCGCTCTCGAGAGCGGTCTGGAATTTCATTCAGAAACGTGCCCTGTGCACAGAGACTGTGGCAGGTCGTGTCCCCCATCGCCATCGCCATCGCTTTGTCATGACCAACTCTCTCTCTCTCTCTCTCTGTGTGCTCCCAATATACAATGTACAATACGATTGGAGGACACATCCGTGTGTCTGTATGCATATGCCTTGGCTGGCTTGGCTTGGGCTTGGGCTCGGATGCCTGTGCTTTGTGAATCTATGTTGTGGCGCCACTAGCTGCCCCGTGTCGCAATTTAATTACAAAGCCTCGTCTCCGGCATCCATCGAGGACATCGGAGAGCGATTTATGCAAAAGAATAGGGGGACTGGGGAATCCAACAGACACACACGCAACTTGGAGCAACTTGGAGGAAACAGCAGCAGCATCAGCAGCAGCATCCATCAGTTTCGAGTTGCAGCTCCTCTGGGAGCCGTCGCTTTGTCGTTTTTGATGCACAACTCAATTTGGCTGCTGATCGTCGCTATAATGCTGCTCCACGTCCGCTGCTCCAATGCGGGGTTTGGGTTTGGGTTTGGGTTTCCTATTCCAAGGATATTAAGGCACAAAAGCACTTGTTGCCCTCCACTCGTGGCAGCTTCTTTAAAATCGAATCACGTCCGCCCAATTTTTGAGCGAACTTGAACACAGCTCTGAGTGAGGGCTGATGCCGGAAAGTTTTAACTCCCTTGTAGGCGATTAAGTTAAATGCCACTAAACTAATTTAATAGCGATGCTGAGTGCACATTCATGGAGCCTCTACCTCTACCTCTGCCTCTTTCGCTTTCAATCTATCGCGTGGTGCTGGTTGCTGGCTGCTGGCTGGTGGCTCCCTTGCACCACATTTTCGCTGTTAAACATGTTGTCCTGTCCTGTGTTCTGTGTCCTGTCCTGTTCTGTTCTGTTCTGGTCAGTCGCCCTCAATGGCGGCGGCACTGGGCTCTGTTTGTCACGTACACAAAATGCGAAGACCTTTGCAAAATAAATACACCCGGCTAAGATTGCTTTTCTATATGGAATTTAATTTGCGCTGACCCCAAAACATGTAATAACAATGCAATTTCATTTTGCAATTTTCTGTCGCCCATGGTCAGTGGTCAGTGGTCAGTGGCCAGTTGCCAGTGGTCCTGTTCCCGGGGGCAAAGTAAATCAAAGAGAGAGGGCTGCATCCCAAGCACCGACAACCGACAACCGTCAACCGACATCATGGCGGTGACAGAGATGATGCACCATCAGGCTTCGTTTTGTTATGCAAAATGCCTGAAAAGATTACGCAGTTAACGTTTATTGTACGCTGTATAGCATATACTCGTAGTTATTCCAATCGCTGGATCGTTCGGGTACGAGATGGCGCTTAGAACAACAAAACGCGGCGGTGGCGGTGGCGGCTGCGGCGGCGTCGCACTGGCAACCTGTTGCGCGTGGGCGCCCCCCCGCCGTTGCAGGGCCTCGTAAATCGGAACGAGTGGAGCACACAAATACACATTTTGGGATGATTAATTTAAGCACTTTTACGATGCCATTTCCATGGCATTTTCTGATTTATTGTCGGCCAAAGCGACGCGTTTCCGTCGCCCAAATGAGCTACGTAAATAAAAGTTGCCAGAAATGGGATCCCAGATCCCAGGCTCCTACTAAATACTCGTAGGTACAGTCGCCTGGCCCTGCCAATATGGGGATGCTGATGGTCCCCGCGGCTCATTGGCTGGGTGGGCGGCACAGCCACAACTGGCCGCACTGCATTGTGGCCATCGATTCAACTGAAGTTGCATTCTAATTTTGTGGAGCTCGGATCGCGATGCTTGCGATGCTCGGTGGACACAGAGACGGAGGCTCTCTCTGGGCATGTTCTGGCAGCTTGGCAGCTGGCGGCGCATGTTGCCATCAGACGCATTTACTATTTTGCATAAATCATAATGTAATCTGCATCTGGAAATGAAAAACAAACCAAAGCGAAAATGTCCAAGCGTTTATAATTAACTGCGCGGCCACAAACCGAAGACATACGCAAAAGGCGACATGCCGGGCCCATGCGCAGGCGCAGTCCCAGGCGCAGGCGCAGGACCTCTGTTTCCACAGACCAGCATATAGCAGCCAGGCAGAAAAAACAACTGCCCAACTGTTCCTCAATGGAGCTGGCATCTTGCAGCTTGCAGCATCTTCAGCTTCAGCTTTAGCATCGGCATCAGCATCAGCATCAGCATCGGATATATACGCGTTTGGTTGTATGCCAGCCAGCCAGCCAGCCAGCACAGAGCCTCGGCACAGGCGGTCAGAGATCGGTGGTGCCTGGAGACGACTCGAATCGACTCCTTCTTCTTGTACTCCTTCCTCCTGCTCTGCGGGCAGGGCAGGCAAATGAATAACCCTCACCAACGGGCACAATCTGCGAGATCTACGCAGCGCGCAGCGCGGTCAACGCGGGATCGGGCGCCCTGCCAAAAACTACGGAAAATAATTTATGCTCCAGTCGTCGAAGCGCGGCAACACATTGGCGCAACATGCTCCATGCTCCATGCTCCATTCGCTCTCTCTCTCTCTCATTCGAGGGTCTCTCTGCGAGGGTGCAAGCAGCGGGTGCGGATGTATGTGCTGTCCGTTGCAAATCCCCAGCCAAAATTATAAATTAATGAAATTTATGCACAATAAAATTGCAAGGGAATTATTGATGCAGTCGTTCACGCTTTAAATGCTCCCTAAATCAAAAATCGCACCACGAAAAATTATTAATATGGCCGGCAAACATGCAGGCCCCAGCCACAGCCACAGCCCCCAGCCCCAGCACCAATCACAATCACATGGCGCTAGGCAGCCACAAAAGGCCACAAAAACGAACAGCAAGTATACATACATATCTGTACATACATACATACATATGTATGTATGTAGGAGTATGGCGCCGGATATGTTTATACGTAAAAACATGCACCTCCTTGGCTCCATTAACCAATGGTCCATCTTTCCATCTGTCTGCTGGAGCTCTGTCTTGTGCCTATCCAGGAACATGTCGATAGAATGGCACTAAAAGCCGAGATGCATATATTCCTTATCGATTGAGCCACAATATGAACATCAACAGAACATAGTCCAGAATCTGGTACACACTTTGTGGTTCGTTGCTGTAAATTATAGCCGATAACTTCTGTTTTTGGATTTAGCTATTTCCATAAATATACATAGCTACAGCGTGCAGGATAATAGTTTCAGTTGCAAACCACACTGGCAATGTTTCTGCAGGTTTTTATGGCATTGATTTTCGAGCAATAGTTAGCCTTGCAGAACCGAATCAGTTAGTGCTACATTTCTGTCATAAAAACATCGTTTAATTAAATCACAATAACCATATCGTATTGCCAGCAGCAAAGGCTCATACAAAAGATTCTATAACAGATTCCATAGAATCTTTGCTCATACTTTGTTGGTTTTTGTGAAATATTCTAAGGAACTCCTTCCTTCCACTTAATGCAATTCAAATTGGAATATTTAATCCTATTTCTGATATAGGAATTATCCAGGAAATACGGATTTAAGCGGTTCCAAGTCTGAAAGTAATTTTGGGATGTTTACTTTACGAATCAAAGGATTATTTTTCAGCATTTTTTTAAGTGATGGTAAAGCTACTTATAGTCCCCCCTGTCATTCGGAAACCAGCAGATATTATTATCCACGAATTCTTTCCAGAAACTCCCTTTAAATGGAATTTATTAAATTACGCATTTAGTAAGTTTATTTTTGTTGTTGTTGTGGTTGTTGTTGGAGCTGCATTTTAATATGTAAATTAAATCTGTAAGCGTATCCGTATAAAATAAATTGTCAAATTACAGACATCAGATTGCCTTCACACCCGTATCTCTTCAATTTAAGCATAAGTTTAAATTTACAGGGAAAATTTGTTGCTGGTTGAGCGCAAAACCTCTTTATCTTATCGCGGGTTTGGTTTTGGTTTTGGTTTTGGGTTTCCTTTTAACGAATAAAATGGAATGGAAATACTTATTATTCCACGAATCATGTGTATGTAAATACCATTTCTCACATGCGTCTCCGCTCTGGTGGCACGGTGGCACAGTGGCTGGTACTGGTACTGGGACCGGGACCGGGACAGCCGCAAGTTTCGTAACTTACGCAGAAATCTCAGCGATCATGTTCAAGACAGGTAGCGCTCTATTGGGTTCATATCACCAAGCTCTAGGCTGAAAAATTAGT